CCCTGACCCCTCCCTATCCGCCCCATTAGGCTCCCCTTCCCTCCCATCACAGCCGACACCCCTCCATCAGAGTCTTTCATTTTCTGATCCAAACTTTAGAGAAGAGAGAGGAAGAGTTGAGCTTTCCAACGATGGGTCGAACGACATTGTATCTCTTTCCTACCCCGAGATAACACACTTGGAAAAAATCGTACATGTGTGCCTTATATCTCAGCCTTGGCAAGGGTATAGGGCTCGAGCTTTTGCCTGCGATCTGGATTCAACAAGTTCTTGTTATAGTAGAAGTTTCAAAGCAAAGAACCCTCATTTAGACAGTTTTTGCTATGTCGTAGGACTTTTGTCCACGACTGTAGATATTTCTTCAAAAATGACATTGGTACTCATTTCCAACAAATCAGAATCTCTGATCGTTTGACAAAAGCAATGTATAAACAACATTCTAGACACATACTAATAGATGAACAATTCCGAAATAGTTCAGACGAATTTGAATAGATGCCTTTCAGATTTGAACCTCACTATGCAAATCTTCTTCATAGAACCATAACTCTCATTCAGCGAATATAGTCGAGCGACGATTATGTTTCGGAGCGAAACTTTTGAAAAAATACGCATCACGCTTTCAGTGCTTTGAACATCGAGATAAAACGGAGAGTAGAGACCATCGAATTGTTTTCAGAGTGAAGTAGTATGTGATTATTATTAAATAGCGAAGAAAAGAATTTTAGAATACTGTATTTGACTGAAGTGTAATCGAGATAAATTGTAATGGAATTTGGAGCGTGTATCACATTGGCGTTGTTTATCTGGTTATAGTCATCGTTCATATTCAAGTTTTGCATTACATTATTATCATTTATCAAGATCAGATCAAATGAATTTATGTTGTTCATTTGAACATTTGGTCACAGTTTGGATTGATACAATTGATGATTTGAATGAAGAATCTCGTTATGAATATTCACGTTGTTTTGCTCATTTTGATCGAAAAAATTCTGTACAATATATTTATTCCTATTCAGATCAAATTCTTGTTTGCCATCAAACTTTAGTTACTATATGGAATTGTTTAAATGGACAACTTATTAAATCATTTTCATAGCATGTTCATGCTATTGCTAAAGATCCAAGATCATCTCTTATCGCTCTTTTTGACAAAAGTTTTCGTAAGTTTGATAAGTCAATCATTTCTTTGTTTTTTTCTTGAAATGGAAATGTTTGTTTAGTTCATTTTTATTCATTTTCTGATGGCAAATGTCATTCACGTCAAAATTCTTTATTTCGACGTGTCACATCAGCTGCATATATACCCAAGGATAAATCATCTGCATTTGTTCCTCTTCAACATTCAAGATTAATCTTTTATATTCCACAGCAAGTAAGATCTTTCAATTCAACAAATATATCTTATTTTAAACAAATAGAATGAAAATTCTTTAGAAGATGTTCCATCATCAGTGATTTTGTATTTTTTTCAACTGAGAGAAGATTCGTTTAGGATAAGAACGATGAATAATCTTCGAATCTGAAGAGACTTTTCATTTTTGACAATCTATCTGATTTGATCAGTTTCAATTAAATTTCAATACAATAGAATGATCTTCTTCATTAGCACTTCTCATTGGTACTTCGGTTCTTCAGAGTTCATTTGACCTTGTCTAATGAATATGCAGGGGCCGCGCGAAGGGTCTAAGATTGGGGGGGTGTAGTGGGTTTTGAAATAGTGTAAACAATTTTTGGGGGGGTGTAAAAGGGTATTTAGAGCAAAATTTCTTAAAAAAACACAAAATTCGTTCCAAATCTGCTCCGGTCGCTGAAAAAAAACAAAAATTTTAAACTATTGGGGGGTGGTGCAT